CTTCCTCCTTGTGCAGGGAATGTTGATCAGATTCTGTTTTATTATTATACAGTCCTCTTCCCTAGTCATATTCCAGTCTCTCTCTTGCTCCGTAAAATCTTGAATACCTTTTTTTCTTCTATCAAAAAAACGCAGCCTAACCCTTGATTGACACAGATTCAACCGTCTTTGAGAGATGTTTGCCTCTGCTTCTTGAATGCCTTCATTCGTATAATGAAATATGCTATCTTACCAGCTCAAAGTCTATTTGGTTAACTTTTCTTCATTTGTGTCTAGCTCTGCCATGTCGCATCTTTTGGCCAGTAACCTGGTGACCATCACAATCGGTGAAACTCAGAGGCTAGTAAAATCCACTTGTTTTTGGTTGTGGCTCCAAGGACTGAAATGGAAATTGGCATAAAAAACAGACTTTGCTTAGTCATTTTCCAATCACTTTCTAGTTTTTATCAGGCTTGAGGCAAGGGGCCTGCATGCTGGCGCGTCTTGAGATATTAAAGGTGTTCGATGAACTATTGCCAATATACACCGGGTTTGCTTCGAAATCCACTCTTTCATACATTCACCGATGGCCGCTCTCGTCTCCAGGCGTGGAGTTGCACGACAGCGAAGATTTTTGCTGCCAACCAGAGTCCGGATTCCTCTGAATGTGTCTAAGAGACAACGAGGTCAGGTGATAGAAGCTGTAGACAATCGAGGAAGACAAAAGCCTTCTGGATGTGCATAAAACAGTGAATTTAGAGGCTAGATTAAGTCTCACTTTTGATCCTTCTTGCATAGCAGTGTTGTTAGTTCCGGTGACATCACAAGAAAATGGCACATATTGGCTACACTCCGGTTGCATAGCATTAACAGTGCAAAGGTTAGAAGCGTCTGATACCGACAATACGTCAATTTTGCACATTGTGCATACACACACAAACACACGAACATTCGGGTAATCAGGTGTCAAAAGGTGAATTTAAACGTCCCTCTTGGAGGTGTGAATTAAGGAGCAACGGTGACACATTTTGGTCCTGGATGGTTCTCTCCTTTTGACAGGAAGCTGCACTTTTGACCTTTATCTTCATCGACAGATTGCAGTCGAATTGTCTCTGTCGCCAAAATAGGCAAACTTGCGCTTCTGCCTTTGCACGTCGGACACCGGAAGCACGCATTTCGAATGGACTCGTCCGGTCGACACCACCACGTCTCAAATCTAAGTTGGCGTAAACACCAAATTTCTATGCATTCTCAAAGACTTTGATGTACTCCAATCTCTTTCAGGCACCGCTATTTATGGGTCAAAAGTTCACTTTCGGCTTGTCGGGGCTGTAGCAACCGCCCAACCTCGGGCTCAGTGGAAGGATTTCGCTTTTGACTGAGCTCGCTGAAACGATAAACAGCTTTCGAGTCTGCGCCTTTTGCATTTACCGAAGTTGTTACAGAACGAAAACGTCAATTTATTAATTAATTGACAAGAAGACCCGCACCTCACTTCTCTAAAATGTATTTCAGCTGAAGAGGAGGTGCTTAGCGACAATTAATCAGCTGAATTAAAAGTTGCTCAGCTTTAAACACTTTCACTTTTCGTGATTTCAATCATACCAGCAAATTGACCATTTCTATAATCTATCTTCTCACTTCCCCTCTTCACCTGGCCTCAGAGCAAAGTTGTAACGTAAGACCTTCAACTTTATCTTAAGGTTCCAGAAGGTGTTTTTTGCATACTTGTTAAATGTGTGATTTCATACAAAGCGTCAAAGTTAATGAGCGTCAAGAGTGTGAATTCAATCTTGGCTTTAGCGGATGGTCAATCTCACTTCTATGAACTGAAGACGAAAGCTTCTTCCTTTAAAATTCC